GGAGTTTTTTGGTATTTGCAGAATCATTTGGGTTCTTTTTTTTTTTTTTTTTTTTTTTGATAAATTGAATTCTTTTTACATCGTATTCTTGCATGTAATATGGATTTTAAGTTTTGGCAATATGTTTGACGATTTCTTGTTTTCTCCTTTTTTCCTTTTTAATTGTTTTTTTCTTTTATAAAATCTAACAAGGATCTTAGTTGCTATTTCATGCTACGGAATAGCTAATCATCGATTTAAGATTTGCAATTTAAAGCGAATTCCACATCATCGAGGACTACGGTAATATACATCGATATTCTATATGAGAAATTATCCATATTCTCAATCTCACGTCTTACTGTTTTAAATTAGTTGGAATATCGCCTGGATAATTGATTTATATTTTTAGAAATATTTTTTCTCTCTTTTTTCAATAAAGAGTTTTTCTCTTTATTAACAATTAATTTTTTCATTTGAGGCTCTATTAATTTATTTGGCATTCTATAATCGATAAACAAAAAAATACACAAATGTTTTCGAATAAAAAGTACCACCGATGGCGCGATAACGATCGCAGCAATCTACTTGCGTCCTACCATAGATTCCTAGCGCGCGCGTGTTAATGCCGACGTGATCCTACTGCTGAGGCGACGAGACCCGCTAATCGCCTCTCTCCTCGACGAGCAGAGGAGGATTCTTCGCTCGCTTCGTTCTCCTTTACTCGCGGAAATCCACTTGTTGCAATGCCATCGAGTTAAACCGCTCGATAAGACTCTCAGCGAGAAATATAGCCGCGATCTAAATATCGTGCAACCTAACGAAGATTTCGACGATATTATAGGATGATGCTCTCTCTTGATCCTTCGATCTCTTGTCTACAACAATTTAATGTAGAAACTAAGTTATTTATTTTCTGTTAGAAGGAAAATTTTCGAAATAACAATTAAAATTCCTAAATCTAAGTTTATGAATTCTTATGAATTTAAGCGCACGAAAAAAAGAAAGAAAGAGAAAGAAAATAATTAATTTAAATAATTTATTAATTATTTTGAAAATTTAAAATTGTTTCATGAAAATCTTGAATATAGGATGGTGTGTAATAATTGAAATCATCAAAATAAAGAAATATATTTTTAAAGATAAAATTAATTCCGGATTAAACAAAGAATTCACAGATAAAAAAAATTGCGATAAATTGATAAATTAATTCCTATTGAGTTATAATTTGCATTAGATTTTTTATTTTCTCACAAAGATTGATACAGTTCCTCGAGATCAAATAAATAAATACTATAACATAAAGAAAGACTGATCTAAACAAAGAATCGTAATTTTCCACAGTAAGACAATTTTTGTAATATTTAGATTTGTTGCCGCAAGATTAAAATATTATTTAACTATTACTGTTTCAATTATTATTTTTCATATCTATATATAATATAAAGGTTCACCGTATTATAAAAAAAAAATTAATTTTACAAAATATTTGTGAGATTAATTTCACGAGGTTGCTACAGCAAAATAATTGTCACTCTGTTAACGTCACAATTATCCATGTTGTCCATAATATTCTATTCCATCGGAAAATATTTCCTTCTATTTACTAATAATAATATACCAATTTTTTTAACACTATCGAGTTTTATACTGCCTCGAGCCAAAGTCCCAATAACACCAATCAAGAAAATTATATATTTTTTCTTGCTTTATAAAGATCCATATCCCAATTGTGTCATAATATCGTTTCTATATCGAAATTACGCTTACTCTGTTGTCCTCCATCATCATCCATTATTCACATTCGATTTTGTCTCCTATTTAATAAATCAGATAAGATTTTCGAAATTTCGATATTTGTGTTATCCATCATTATTGTCGTCATCTCCAAAGACTATTTAAAGTTTTTTCTTTCTCTCTTTTTCTCTCAATAAAATCCGTTATTTTGATGGTCGACTTTCGAGATCCTGATATCCGTGTTCGCGTTATTATCAAGCGGTCTAAGAAGAGTATTTAGAATTCGCGTAGAACTGAGCGCGGGCGTAATAAGAGACTGCCCGCTGATGGCGGTAGCCACGGTACGTGCCCGCGAGCAGCGGCAACACAGGATAGGATAAGACGGCCCCTCTCTTCTCTCATACACATCAGAAAGCCCCGGGCCCCGGGCCCGACATCTGCGAGCGAACGGATTCCGCATCCTGACGGAGACCCCGCGGCGCATCCAAGTGTTCATTTTGCTCTCTCTGCCTGTTTATCTCTTTCTCTTACTCTTTTTTTTCTCTTATCACGATTAGGTCTGCGGTGTCGCAATGAGTAGATCGAGATGACTCCTCACGTGCCGGGAGAGGCCTTATCGACCTTACAGTCGATAAGGAAGCTACAAAGAAAATCTATACATATTTTAATGTATTGAGACTATTGAGGAGAAGAGAATTATTTTCTTATTATTATTTTTTTTTTTTTAGAAAAAAACCACATATTTATTATTTTATTTATTTTATTAAAAAGAGTTTTTAAGATTATATAGTGGATTATTATTATTATTTTTTATTATTTTGATATATTGTTTATTTTATCTTATTTTGGATTCTATTTATATTTTGTTATCTTACAATTTAATACTTTTTAGTTTAAGTTTAGTTTTAGTTTAGTTTAGTTTAGTTTAATATTTTTTAGATATTATTTAATTCATTATATTTATAGCCTGATTATATAAAAATAGTTTATCAAATTTTTTTAAAAAAATTTGTTTCTTAATATTTATGCGATTCATGATATTATCTTTTAATTATAGAAAACTTTTTCGCGAAATATTAGATGCAAATCTCTACTTTAAATATTTGTTTTGTTTTTGACATTTATCCAATCACATTGCGTCAAAAATCGAAAAATCAGAACGGCGGACCGAGCTTCTTCAACTTCCTCAGCAGTCCCGGTTTGGTCACTAGCTCTTTCTGGATGGATTCGATCAACACTTTTGCTTGATTGTACGGCGGAAATGGCATGCCTTCAAGATTGTAAACATAAATAACACCTTCGATATCAGCGACAACTAATTGATTCCCGTTTGCTGTAAACTCAACAGCGACCAATCTCGTTCCGTTCGTTGAGATCGTCACTGATGACGGAATGTGTATTTTTTTACGAATGTCCCACACACAAATCTGATCATTGACAATGCTGGCGATGATAGTGGAACATGTAGGACTCCAACAGGCGCTTCTCACGCACGCCATTACTGTCGACAAAGTAATAAGCGGTTC